CCTGGCAGCTCCATCTCCAACATCCTTCTACCAATATAACCACTATCCCTCCTCTGCACATGTCCAAACCATCTCAATCTGGCCTCTCTGACCTTGTCCCCAAAACAGCCGACCTGAGCTGTCCCTCTGATGTGCTCATTGCTAATCCTGTCCATCCTGGTCACTCCTAAAGACAACCTCAACATCCTCATCTCTGCTACCTCCATCTTTGCCTCTTGTCTTTTCCTCACTGCTACAGTCTCTAACTCATACAGCATAGCTGGTCTCACTACTGTCTTGTACACCTTTCCTTTGATTTTTGCTGCCACTCTTCTGTCACACAACAGTCCTGACACCTTTCTCCACCCACTCTAACCCGCATGCACTCTCCTCTTCACCTCTTTTCCACACTCTGTGTCTCCCTGTGGAATGTTGACTCCAAAAACTCCTGCACCTTCTTGATCTCAGCCCCCTGTAACCTCACTGTTCCACTTCCCTCCTGTTGTTAACACAGGCCTCGACCTATGCGGTATGGAATTCACACTGATGATTCGCATGTTTAAATTTGGCCTGTTTTTACACCGGATGCCCTTCCTGATGTAACCCTCTCTATTTATCCGGCCTTGGGACCGGTACAGAAGTCACTGGCTTGCAACCCCTGTGGCTAGATTGTGTGTGCATATGTTGTCTGTTTGATGGAATAAATTGCTGCTTGTAGTGGTGAGATGGAATAAATTGCTGCTTGTAGTGTGAGCGCAGGCCAGCCAGGAATTGTTCCCTGCTTTATGAAATCTATGAAATGTTTGGACATATAGAAACCGCTGAAAATCTGGACTTGGGCGGTGTTGACATGCAGGCTGAAAGGTAGGGGTGCTTTCATTGACCATCAGAGGCTTTGGGTGTAAGCAACACTGCTCACTTAGATCAACCCAACAATCTTTTAGGCTGTTAATAAGAACCGAAGAAGACAGAATTTCCCCACTTTCCCCTTGCTGTTCTGTGTCCTTCTCTCCTCTCTCTCTTGCTAACAGTCCCAGTATCTTTACGAGCTTCCAAAAATGGAGGACTTGGTATTTTCCAGGCTGAGAGATTGTGCTGACCTGGCTCCCTCTAGAAGGAAGCTGGCAGATAGAGCTAAAGGTTAGCAGAGTCTCTTTCTCCCCTTCTCCTTGCCTGTCTGGGGTGGTCAGGCAGCTGCCTCCTTAGTGGTGATTCTGTTCAACCCACTGCTGGCTATGCCTGGAGGACCCAGAGGGATCAATTACCAAGACTGGTACTGACCCAGAACCTCAAGGGGGTGATGTTGGAGGTGTAGGGGGATCACTCCAGGACCAGCCTGAGCTGGATCCACAGAGAGATGGAGAGGATGAAATAGAATGGAAACAATAGCGAGAGGAATGTGGGGTGGAGGTACATCCTCAGCACTTGTTTACAAACCCTAGTCAAAAGAGCTTTTTCATACTCAGCCGAACGCATGCTGTCACTGGCAGATGCATAAACATGCGAGTACTCCAGAAGCTTACAGTGAGACACATATTGAGGACTGTCTTGTGTAAACTGCACCCTTTG